ATCAAAATCAGTCGTCGGTCTTCACGGCCAGTATTTTTTCTTGGACGACCCATCAGAGGCAATTTGTCTCTTGATCCAGTGTTTCTATACCGAGACCAGACCCTCTGCACGGTTCTGACTGAACAATTCAATTGTATTGATATTCTGACATTGCTTATATTCCGCCTCTTCAGGTTAATAACTTGCACCTATAACCGTTAGATAATTGCCTGTATCTTGCCATATTTGAGGAAGACAGGAATAACATTTGCTGTACATGTACAAGACCAACAATACAATTCTATGGTATAGCGGTTTTATACTCATTAGTCACATTAAGTAGACCAGGCATTATAAGTACCCAAGATCTGCCTACTTTTTTTACTCTGAGTTAGGGGGTGACACTTCTTTTGTCCAGTGTGTGTATTGATATTTTAACTTGAGCAAAATAAACGTAGAATATATAAAAATTCTCAAAAAAATTCCAAACTACTGCATAAGTTTATGAGGCCTGAAGGAGCGATTGGGAGTTCTGTAANTACGTCGCGCACCCCCAAGCTCCAGAGAGAACTTGAAACAAACCTCTACACTATAGCATTCCTTTGTCGTTTCAAGTTACTCAGGGTTACTTGGCGTTAATCCGTCAACGTTTTTGTCGTGCACCTGCACATACAACTGGGTAAAGACGAAATCGACATGTCTGGCGATCTGTATGACCGTGTGACGATCTATTTCAGCCTTCGAAACATTTTAGAAATAACTTAATTTGTCGGACACATTAATTCAGCGGCACCCTAAAGTGCTGAAGGTGAAACGCTAAAGCTGTTCACGCAAATGTATATATTTTCATTACAAATGTGAAATTTGGATATATTAATCAGGACATATGACAAATATTTTTTTATTAGATACCCTGTTTTCTATGGTTAATTTATCTGATGAAAGTGTTCATTGAGCATACAGTGTAATAGCTTTTTTTGCGTGGGGTGGGGGTGCCTCGGGGATTATTCAAATATATTATTATTTAAGATTTTGACATTTTTTGCATTATTTTATCTTTATATACACATATAGCATATGTATGTGTGTTTGTGAGTTATACTTACAAATATAGAGAAGTATATTATTGACAGCATTCATATTATTATCTTGTAAATCATTTACCACCCTTAAATAAATGGGGGGGGGGTATAAGCAGAAAAGTTGATAACTTCTTTCTTTGCGCAGTATGTTGTACGATGCGTGTTGGCGTTAAAGTGAAACCTTCTTTGTGCGGTTACTGACCTGGGCCCGGTTCAACAAAGGCTGGATAGGCTATCCATGGTATTAATCTTTAATCCTCTGGATAGTTATCCTCTGTATACATTTGTGTTTCACAAAGGCTGGATAAACAGTACTAGTGTGATGGTAATCCAGCGGATAAAAATCTATCCCAAACCATATTTGAAAAAGACATTCCCTTAATGCAGTTTGTTGCAATAAACATTGCAAAAGCCATGATATAGTTGCTAACAAAAAATTATCTATACCATATTTGGAAAATAAATAACCCAAAATAAACAATATAAGTATATTTCAAGATAGAACATCCCTTAAAATAATGGGAATAATATCTACGGGACATTTTAGTGTCAGTGTCAAGACAGACCACATTGCATTAGTTGTGCCTCATGAAATGTTTACAATTTGCAGTGGAAGGGCAAGGTCGTGACATTCTTTCTAACAAAACGGCTGACTAGACACGGTTGGCAGATTCTGGGGATAGCAATGTATATTTTTTCGTACATTTAAAAGTATGCTTTAGTAAAACAAGATAATTGGTCTCTCACGGAGATTGCATGGATTCTGTTGGTCACGATAAAAACTGTCATATAATCTAATGATTCAGCATCACTCAGAGCATCAAAAACAAACGCACCTCTTCAAAAATTCTCTCTCTTATCATACTACGCCTGTGACATCTCATAGGATTTGCTGCCAAACCAAGCAGGTTAGCCATTTGTGATTATTTAACAGCAAGATAGCACATATGTTTTAAAACGACCTTTTCTTACCCCTTCTGTTCCCACTTGCCAGTCTTAATATGTATGGCGCAATATGGCTGCCCCTGCAATACATGACCTAAATTGCACAGTAGCAACGTACGTGTTGGTATTTTAATTGTCGAACCGGTTTCAAAACTTAAAAATAGTTACTGCATAAAGTGTTGGAAATGCTGCTTATATAAATGATAAAAGAGGCATTGCGGTATATTGTAAGCACACGTTAAGTGCTCAGTGGCGACCCTTAGGTTACATGCATAATAAGAAGCAATTCTAATTTCATTTGAAAAGCACATGCCAAAAACTGTGCATATGCTGGCAATGAAATATCCAAATAATATATTTACCATTCACACTTTTGTGGATTTTTGGTAATTTATGGTAATTTTTAATTATGGTCCTAATCATTTTTTCTCGATTTCAGTTTTGATCATGCTCAACATTATAAGTCGAGTAGCAAGAACGACAACCCTGAAATATTTTTTCTGTAAACTTCTTTTCATGAAATGCATCCTTCCGGCCGAAATGAGAAAGATTAGTTTGGCTGCTTCCGAGCATGTTTTAAAATGGCCATATATTTACAAAAAAAAAAAAAAAAAAAAAAGCTTTATTGTATTTTAATATTTGAGCTACTTGTATAACATCTAAAACATAGTACCATTAACGGAAAATTTCAATATCGTTACACCCAACAGTGCTTAATGCTATGCAAATATAACTATACATGTATAATTATTGAATTTGTTTTCTTTTCATTTCTACAACATTCTGTTATGGTCTGCCTACTTCCGAAAGGTAAACAATGCTTTGTTTAATGCGGTCCTCTACGCCTCTTGATCCACGAAATATATTTGAATACCAGTCCAAATATTGCTTGAGTCATTTAAAAACACTTTCATGTAAATTGTCATTCTCTTTTTTGTACAATTATCTTTTGAGGAAAGGGAGTGTCATGTATTTCAAACATCATAGGCTCGAAGTCAGGTTGCACATCTGGTGGAAAGCTAACCCTAAACCGACGAAAAAACAATGCCTGGAAAAGAAACTTATCACTATTTATACCTGCACATGTACGTATTGTACATGCAAATGTAAGTAGTGCACACACAATATTCGTTAATATGAATAAAATCTAATATTCACTAAGACTATCTGACATATTTAAAAGAAAACAATCAAAACAAAGCAACACGTACCATAATCATCCCGATTTCTGCCCTAGCAAGTGCTTCTCCCACACATTTCCTCTTGCCACGGCCGAACGGCAGCCATGTCTTTTTATCCAATTTTTTCAAGCTGCCATCTTTGTCCAGAAACCTCTCTGGCATGAACGTCTCCGGCGATTCCCAGTTTTTCGGGTCATGGTGGATTTCCCATATGTTGGGATAGACAAGAGTGTCTTTTGGGATATCGTATCCACCTAAATGATGATGAATAAAAAGGTGTAGCGTCATACCAACGGTGCATTGCTAACAACATAATACTGACTTAACATGAACATTATAATTAATTTTCAGATTGCCATTTAATGAAAAATTGATACACGAGAAAAAGTAGGTAGTATATGTAAGCAAAAGCTGAAATTGCTGTGGAATTCAAATTCCTGCAATCGGTGGTCCTTAAACTTAATATTATCGACTGTCTTTGTTGGATGGGGAACATTAATTATATATTGATAATGATAGATAATTCAATAACCTTTTATAAGTTTTATATACGAGCAAGACAAATTGATATCTTACCTAATTTGGTATCACAGCGTGTTTTATGTCTTAAAGCAACTGGGGCCCCAGGGCGTATGCGCATTACTTCTCTTAGAACAGCTTCGCAGTAAGTCATCTTAGTTCTGCAGTGACGGAGATCGCCCAAATTGTTTTCTGTTTGGCATATGTCAAACAAAAAGTTATAATAATAAAAGGACATAAACATAATGACTATAAACACTAATAGTGGAGACCTCATTCTGATGCTCGTTTTCTAGAACGGTGATACATATACACGTATTTTACCCATAAGATACACATGTAACTGTAACTAAAAAAGACAAGAAATAAGTTTTTACAATGTACCTAAGTCGTCTAACTCCTTGTGAATCTTTGTCTGGACTTTTGGATTATCTGCTACGTACATTACCATCCAATTCAACGTGTCGGATGTAGTCACGGTTGCAGCTACGGGAGTAAAAGTTCCATATTGAAGATCGCACACCAATACTTGGTGTGCTTTGTACAGAAACATATATTTCTTTCCCATAAAATCTACCACATGTTTGATAAAAAAGTAATAAGAAGCGTCGAAATAAAATTACCAGTGGTGTACATCATTCTTCCTCCTTGTAATGTTGGTTAAAAGTGGAGGATTGAAAATCCATAGTATGCCCTTTACCTCTGAATCTGTGAAATTTAATTTATCGTACTCTTTCAGAAATGTTGAATCGCTCAAATTTTGTTAACTATCTAGAGACCCGTGTGATATCAGGAGCCGAAGTGATATTACGATTCCTTTTTAGTAAAAGAAAGAACATCAACTGAGTCGTCTAAAATACCTTCACATGTAAAAGCAACTGCAGTTATATTTGCGAGTATGGTGATGTGATACCTTATCTATATCACCAGAAATACTGTATAAAGAGTGCAGGTGTATTATCTTAGAAATTAACCCTACCAAAATTTATGTCCAATAAGGTGAGCATGATTCTAGTGTCAGAAAGCGCCTCCTTGGCGTTGTCATCGCTTTCAGGTGTCAGCTCCTCCTTCAGTAGCAAAAATTGGTCCATTATGTCTCTTGCGTCACCTTTGAAATAAATGATCAAAATGTAGTGATCATAATTTAATGTCTACTTATTTTCAATAGAACTATTTATTACAAATTTATTACAAATTATATAGTACATTTATATACATAGTTGCTTACTGGCAAATGTTCATTTCAGTAATATTAAATTCAACGGAATACAGACTTTTTGTAAATTAATATTTTCTAAACAGGACACGAACCCGTGTTTAAAGTTGCCTTGTGTTCTTCCAGTTTAACCTTGAAGAAGCCATCCAGTTCCTTCGAAAGTCGCTTTGCCGTGAGGGATGATGGGATAGGAAAATGTTTCAAGACAGGGATGACGTCAGAGGGGATTAGTCCTCCCAAGACCTTTTCATTAAATTCGCCAATTTTGTTCTTTAACCAGGTGAATTCCAGACCGTCAATTGCGTAGCTGAAAAATGTCACATTTCATTTCTGAGTTTCGAACGATATTAAGTGTAACAGATATTTAATATTTTCTATACAAAGATTAGTCAATGGATATCATAGTTGGATAAATGCACAACACATTGATAGTTATGTATATTAATACATTCTTCTATACACATGTATATCAAATCTTATATTTTTTCTAACAACCCCTCGTGTATTATAACTCTAGTTGTAAGTACTATAATGGTATTTTTTTTCTTTGACCATTAAGTAACAGATTTCTGAATAAATATTGATAATGGTACATAAATGAATTAGATTTCGGTTTTCCGATTACATATTATGGATAAGTCATTTAAATAGCGCAGGTTTTGAAAAAGAAACTTTCGTTCTACCTAATTCGATCCCTGAATGCAGACAAAACAAATTCACACACCCCTTCTTGAACTTACAAGTGTAATGATCAGTTTTTTCCTGTAATTCTGCTCATCGCTAGGAGGATGCGTATTAACCTGTGTATCTGGATGCTTTCAGTTAGAAAACCCCACAGAGTTAGATCGATTTAAGAAGAATAATAGATTCATTGGGAATGAACCCATAGAAAGAAAATCAATTGGTTTCCCACAATCCAATGAAAAACGTTACAAAAAGACCGAGTGCGTATCAACCTTATAATTTCAACAGTTATACACCTTTTTCCAAACGACATCCTGCAGACGATGTTAAAGACAAGTAACCGGATGTAAAGGTCTAATTCAAACGGCTCGGCCTCCTTTTCAATCAAGGCGGCGACTTCCTCAAAAGCAGACCTCGTGTATGTTTCCAGTTTATCACTCGCCAGGTAGCTCCTAAATGACGAAAAGAATGATAACCCTATGTGACTATATCTAATGTTTTCATGTGTAATTTACCCTAAGACTGTAATAAACTGGGTCTTCTTGACCCAAAAACAACTCTGTGACTTTCTGTCAACATACATGTATTTAACCGTTCCGCATGAAGTCTCCCTTGTATTCCTCATACTTGATTTATAACTGGTATTTCATAACATACATGACACACAAACAATAAATACTAAAACGACTAAGGGATAAAAGGTTTTCCGACCGCGTTTTCCTGTAAATAGGGTCAGTTTTGATTCTGCAATACATATCTTGCACATCAATCTATATGGGACAATATTGAAAAATATCGTGTGTCTGGATTTAGAATCAGTATAGCGGCACCGTTCTATTTGATAAATAATTTGGTGCTAGCATCTGTCAACTTATAGGGTATTATACGGTGATTTATTCACCTTTTCCAATCAAACAATACCTGTAACGCAATAATAAGGTCAACGTACCCGAGAGCCCTCAGAGTCATCTGTCTCTGCAGTCTCCAAACTGGACCATAGCTGGCGAAAGTTAAATCTTTGAACCCGTCAGTGAGAAGCTCAACTTGGTCAATAGAAGTGCAGGGGTTAATGAGATGAAACAAACAGTAGTCATCAGTTAAAACTCATTTAAATATATATTTTCCCAAAGCACAGCTGGTGACTTTGAAGACATACAAATTACACTTTTTTTAATTCGTTGCTTTGCTTATGAGTTTGATGTGGGAACTGTACATCATCATCACCTTCTGTCTATTATATATATGTACATATGATTAGCAGTGAGGCATGGAGTACGTACACTATTTTATTATATATTTATTATATTCGATAAAAAATGCTACTCACACTTCCAGCTCTCATCATCTCTCCCCGCAAATATCTCTTTCTTCTCAACCAAGGCCTCATGAACAATCTCCGCAGATTTTAAAACAACTAACGAGCGCCCAAATCCTGTGAAGGCAAATCATGTTTAATTGTTAGATTTTCTAGCCTTCTGAAATAGATTGCAGATAGAACATGATCATAAACTAAAAATATTCTTACTGAATTAACATATTCTAACACTGACAACTAATTCGAATGTTGAAATGTTAAAAAGAAGCATTCTACTTAAACTATAAAACATTGTTTAGATATGATAAGTTAATTGTCGAAATAAATTTATACCTAAATTAACCGTAAAAATGTCATCAAAGGACTTCCCGAGCTTATTGAAGACGGCGTACAGTCGACCATCGTTTCTGAAAGCTGAAATGGTACCCGCATTTACGAATACAAGACTTTTTTTCAAATTTGAGCCCGTGACTTGGGCTTGCATTTCTTCAATGTTTTCAGACCTTTCAAGAAAAATGCCAATATCCTAGAAAGCCATACATATATGTTGTTGAAAGAAAAACGTCGGTGAATATAAAACAGTTTCGACAGTTTCAATATCTTTAAAATAATACTCACAACCACAGGGTGATATTTTTTCCTGAAAACTTCCGGCCATTACCCATAGCCAAAACATTCACTTTAGCGGGAGTTGGAAAACTTCTCTCGAAAAGAAGAGCTTTCACAATGCTGAGTTATGAGCAACATTTTTTACATAAAAAAAAACAATTAATAAAAAAGAAGTCAGCAATGTGGCAGTTAAGATTTTACGAACAATCTTCCGTATAACGTACGTGTACGATATAAACTCTTTTTATAGGGACAGATCATGCACCTCGGTTTACTGACGATAGCGGTATATGTGTCGGATGTTTATATAAAACAGTGGCGATAAAGATTTTGCTTACAAGTAGGGGAGGTTGAGTATAAAAACTGCTTCGCTTTGGCTGTCGAAAAAAAAAAAAACATAAATAGTAGACAAAGGAAATTTCTTAAATTGAGTACAGTAAAGATGCGTGAAATACATATTGCCTGATTTAGTCCCGGTTTGTTAAGTACACGTTTTTATAACATTTGATTCTATTAATATTTAATTAGAAAGGAAGTGGGTGTGGGAAGGGGGATGCGGTGAAACTAAGGAGGGGATATCCAGCTTAATTCGATGTATGTCTTCCCTAGATCTGTCATTTCTAAAAGTTTTAAAATGCTATTTGGTCAAATTCATCTCTCTCTCTCTCTCTCTCTCTCTCTCTCTCTGTACTTTGCTTGGTGTCACGTAATCGGTCCGTTCTGACCGTGAACCATCCATCCTGACCGACTGTACACGCAGCAAATGCGCATATGAACCGTTCCGTGAATGATCCGTTGTTATTCACCTTAGCATTGATGTGGCTTGTTCGGTTCTCACCTCATTATATATTTATATATTTGTATATTTACAATAGTGGGGATATTTCTACGTAAAATCCATGTCTTAATACAAAATTTGTAATTGATAATTTTGGTAGAGAATCAGCGTCAAATTACAGTTCGACGCTCGGATGAACCTGTGGATGAACTGTGGACGGGCCGTCGTTATTCAGCCGTTGACCCACTACATGTATTATTGTCTTGAATTTACTTGGCTAACTACAATTAAGAGAATTAATTGTATTTANGTTATTTCTCATATTTTTCATAATTAATCCTGGTTACATTTCATTAACATACTTTATTATTTTTATATTTAGCACTTATATAGTTTGGGGGATGTTTATTATCTCCCCCTTTTATTTTCATTTGCGCCAACTTTTTGCTCCTATAGCTGTTGTTATTTCTCATATTTTCCATAATTAATCCTGGTTACATTTCATTAACATACTTTATTATTTTTATATTTAGCACTTATATAGTTTGGGGGATGTTTATTATCTCCCCAGTTTTGTAACTTTGTATCTTATTAGTTTTCGTCATTAATAAATGACAATTTCAGTCATATGGACTTATCCTACTTAATTTGGAGCAAAAACAGAGCTTCGTTGTGCTTGTGAACATTTGGCTACATAAATATAATTGTGTGTTGATATGGCCACCTGAGAGAAATTGCAGCAGAGGCGAACAACTATACGATATGAATATTTCTAAAGCTTATGTTTGAACGTGCAGTATATTCTCAACAGTGTATGTCTATTACAGTCGATAGAGACGAACTGTGCACGCCAGAAGTCTCTCAGATTTGCCTGCGCTTTGTGCGCATGAGCAGAACGGATGGTTCACGCTCCGAACGATTCATGCCACACCTGAACTCCTTTAATCGGTATTTTCAAACCCTCTAAGATTTGATGTATTCTTTACTTTTCCCCATTTACTTGTGCATTTGTCAGATTTTTAAATATATCTCACCAAAGTAGTGCCCCAGTATCGGCAGATGAGGAGGTCCTGGCGGCATTTTGTACTGCTTCCGCTGTAGATATGACATCACCAACAGAAATGCTATGATTCCAACCAAGGCAGTTTTCACAGGAAGCCAATTAATTATAGCTGTATCCATCATCCTAAAAGCGTACATGTAAACTGTATAGTTGCCATCTTAATTACATCTGGTAAAAGCATGTTCCTTAAAACTGTAATTATACCTTCTGTGGAGACATATTTCATTATTTCAAAAAATAATTTTAAGAATAATATTTTATCCTACTTCTAACCAAAGTAAATCAAGTGTAGTCCCAATACACGAAACATTAATTTACAAACCAATACTTCTTTAATTAAATATTAAAGTAAAGGACTTTTCTCGCACATGAACAGATGTAGGGTACATTTGTCATCTTTAAAAGTTGTTTTAAAGTCGGTAAAAGTTGTTACTACTGTCTACCCTGTACAAGCACCAATGCTTTGGTAGCGAAGGATTTCCTTAGGCTTTCAACCATGGCCTGGTCATATTCATGGTTGCACAAAGGAAATCATATTGAGCCAGTTTGACTGGCGGTGAAAAACACATTGCAGCGCATGCCCGTTTGCAAAATAGTCAGCATGTGACCACCGAAACTGTATAACCTGCACTGTATAAGAAAGAAGCCGTAGTCTAGTCACGTACATCAACTGTAAACGGCCTATTAAATTACATCTTATTAAGGTTATAGCGCCCGTCAAATTTGGTAACACATATAAATAACACAGTTAAGCGTGCAAATCAGACATGCACAGCTATTAGGCGAGAGTTTCGCAGAAATAGGAACCCACGGTTAATGCGGCCTCTCTTTGGTTCTTTAGTACGTTCAAAGCTTGAGTTTAGTTCTGCATCTTGGGATCACATAGCAAAAAAAAAATTGTTTAGACGATCTGTCAGAGAGCACTATGGTGCTCTTCTGGCGGAGCGCTTTGACCCCGAGAACTATTGCGCTTGAGATAGTCATTGCAGATGTACACAATGTCGCAATTGTTTATTTTTTGGGGGGTGTTCATTCATGGGTCATTGACCCTTTAGGCCAACCCTTTTGGATACAATTTTATTTTTGCACTATTTTAAAGTGATGCCGTACTATTATTGGTCAGTTGTTTTAATTATGCTCTTAAGTTCTTGTATATAATCTTGCAATCAAATAAAAAAGACATAAATGTGTAAAGGTTATCAGTTCGTGTTCTCGTTATAATTTCTCTTGCTATTATGATTCTTTTGATGACTGGCACATATGATGGTGGGATATCCTTTCGATAGGTTCCCAGTTTATTTAAGCTCTTCTAGTGAAAGAACCACAGTATACACAAACGTGTAGCAATAGTAGAGTTTTCTGCTACTCTTCAATTTAAAAAAGAATGACAATATGTAAATTGATATATATCCTTATAGTATAATGACTACAACTCCGTATTCGACTAAACTATAGAGCAACACGATACAATGCCTCAGTGTCAGTTTTGCACCTTTTGTAAAAGATTGGATATGACATTGCGTGTAGCTTAACATAGTCCACATTTATATTCCTCATTTTGAAAACATATTCCTCACCTGTGCTTAATGCCAAGATTCTGTTATCACCAGGCAGTACTAATGTTTTAATTCGACCTCTCCTTATCCCTTTTGTTTTCACTTGCCAGTCTTAAATATGTATTGCGCAATATGGCTGCGCCTGCAATACATGACCTAAATTGCACAATAGCAACGTACGTGTTGGTATTTTAATTGTTAACCGGTTTCAGAATTTAAAAATAGCATAAAGTGTTGGAAATGCTGCTTATAATATTATAAGTGATAAAAGAGGCATTGCTGTATATTATATGCATAACAGGCAATTCTAATAACTATTTTTAAAAAACCGTCTTTAGAAACATATGGCAGAAAGTAAAAGAAAGCTGCAAAATAAGTCCGTTTTTTTTTAATATTTAGTCTTATTTAGAGGATATCTACCTTTTTATCTACATTCCTTATGATAAGTTGTAAGCCATGATTATTTACGCTCAGAAACTGCTTATTCGACATTCAACAGATGCGGCAGATGGTGTCATCTCCAGGGAGTGCATTTGGCACTCGAGCACTGTAAGTGGAAGCCTGCTATGCCACTGTTTATCTTGCATTAAGAAAATGTCAACTGGCCAACAAAACTGAGAAAAGCCAATTAAGCTTGCCTTTTTTACAATATGATACGGACGGGGCATTGGTAATTTTTCAGAATTCAAGATGGCCGTCAATTTTGTTATATGAATAGCAAGAGCCCTACGTTTATATCAAAGATATATTCTTCACTCTGTTGTTCATCATTGCATGTTAATGTATACAGCCATGTGAAATGCGATAACGTATTACATTTTTGCAAGTCATTTGCACACAAACACACCCACACCCACCAACGCCCCCCCCCCCCACACACCCCCCCCCCCCACACACACAGAAATGGCCTCCAAAACATTATGGGAAGGGCAAATAGAAATAAAAAAGACTTTAAATAAATTAATAATATCAAGTAAAACAATACATCTGCAGTCAAGACAAAATAATAATAATAAAAAAATATTTGGATAAATCATACAATAGCGAAAAGCAATATGCCTAATGCTACTGTATGATCAAATAAAATATTAATATCTCAGTCCTTACAATGAGTCTTTCATTCAAAATCAAATATTACATTGTGGATGGTTATGAAATGGATTATCTCGTATTCTAGTATGTGTAAACGTAATGATCAGTTCGAAATTATAAACAGCGGTCAAATCGTTTTTCTTAGGATTGGATAATTCTTATCCTTTTATATTAGTTTTTTATCTTCACTTTTTTTCACGTATGGGTAAAGCAATGTTCGTTGCTTTATTATGGATTTTGTAATCAATAATCAATACCCAGGCAGTGACATACATACCCAGCTGATGGGGCTTATGAGATGAGTTATTCTTGACAACGTGACATAGTTCGGGGATATGCGAGGGCTGCCCATCGACATCGACATCATGTAGACGAAATGTTGTTTCTTTGCCAATATATAATGACAGTAAATGTTCACTCTGAGGTGATAAAAAATGTAAGCATACTTCTATAGGTAGGGGGTTGTAATTATTCATTGTGATGACTAACCAACTGTGAAATGCATTGGAGTGTGCAGTGCAAAGGGGAACCAACCTGATAAAACGTGGACCAACTCCCCCAACTTATTTAAGAAGAATGGGACAATATCCCACATAACAGAATTGTTATCCGTGTTGAAGGCTTGTCGCGCCGTCTACAGGGAGATAATTGCAGTACACGGTAGACGCACACGATGTTAGGCACGTAATCTTTAACGAGCACACCCTAATGCTAATAGTGTGTGAATTTGGTGACATTTGATGGCGTCCTTTTAATTTTTAAATAAAATATATAAAATAAATTAAAATAGACATTTCTTTACATCTGTAGACGTCACAGTGAAACAGTGGATTTGAGGGGATACCTCTTTTAAATTTTTCTAAATGGTATAAAATGTGTATATTTTCACCACTATTTTGTATTTTTTTAAACAATTAATCATGTTAGACACGGTGTCTGTAATAAAAACACTATTTCTAACAATTTACAGCTTTGAGGTGATCATTTGTAAATAAAATTACATTGAAATGGGGGTGGGACAACCTTTTTGACCAATGTTGTATATATATCATCTGTTGATATTGCTTTATTTTATTTGAATATCTGAGCTACTTCTATAACATCTAAAACATAGTACCACTGACGGACAATTTCAACATCGTTACACCCACCAGTGCTTTAGGCTATGTACTAGGGCTGCGTACCGTAAATATCGTCCTGCAAAGTGAAATCAGAGCCATCTTTGATATGAGATCCTCAGTCTCACGAGGCATCACGACAGCGTGGCTGATCCAGGGTTGTGATTGGTCAACAAACTCAAAAGCAGGTCAGAGGTCAGTCACTTTTCCATTTTTGCCGCGTAAGTTTAAAGGCTCCGGGCTGAGCGGAGTTAATTCGTCAAAGTGTTTACGTCATATTAAACTTACCATTTTCAACACTTAATTGCCACTCAAAATGCGGGAAATGGCATTTAAGACGGTTACAAATTTCAAAACTTCCCTTGGGAGCATGCCCCAGACCCCCCCAGAAAGCTTGAGGATCCACCGCTCGGGATAGGGCCTTCGGTCCTCCATGGGACGCCCGAACACTGGTTCAGGTACAGGTACAGGTCCAGACCTGTGCCTAAACCTCTGTACCGATACCTCTGTACATGATGTTTCGTTTAGGTACGCAGCCCTACTATGTACATATAACTATGCATTTGTTGAAAAATGTTTTTTATTCTTTTCATTTCTGCAACATGCTGATATGGTGATTATTTCATACATCCTGATCAGTAAAGATAGTTAGCCAAAGAACAACAATTCCCTTTTAAAACGAAGACCACTTTTCAGTTTTAACATATAATATTAATTGATGATTTAACCTGGAATTGCCAGTTTTTTTTTCTATTTTTTCTATTTTGGAGCGAATATATGCAATTTCTTATTTTGAAGGTTGAGCAATTTGTCACACTTATATACTTAAGGAGAAGAGGTGTCGTATCTTGGTGTTAAAAAATTCCTAAAGTTAACAATAACGATATAAAACATCATTATAATACATGTCAATTAATATATTACATATGTTTTCATTCCGAGGTACAATGGTATATTTTACCATCTGTCTTTGCCAAGTGGTAAATTAACAATGTATCAGTTTACATATTTCTTTTATTACTGTCTGGGGAATACAATAATTACTGCTCCAAACATACTCTTATTTGAAAATTAAATACTTAATAAGTTGAATACATCACTTTTCCATATTTGAAAATTGGTATTTATGTTAGGTTTGTGAAATACAACTGTACAGTAATGCACTGTACTTGTATAGGTTTTAGTTGATATTCTACAAGCTTTTCAATATTTAAAGCAATTCTTTACAAAGCCTTTGTCCATAGTATATAAATGCATAAAAGTTATCCGCGCTGTTGGTAATGTGTGACTTCATACCTGAATAACAAGTAACAAGTAAAGGGGTCGTTTTAAACGATAACCCCAACGCCGGGAATGCTGAGAAAAATGCAAAAGTGACAATAATTTTAAATTCGTACGGTGGTGCAATAGACTACAGTTCAGCATAACTTAGGGAAAAGGGTATTTTTATAGCTTTTACTCTTTGTCTCACCAAACTCTCTACTTCTCGTGTATTGTTAACCAACCATTTACTTAACCCCAAAATGGATCGCTTGATTTCATGTTAATTCGTGAAACCTGGGGTTTTTCCAGTTGCCTTACTCCAGTGTATATTTCAAACTGGTTTTGCCTATACAATACACTGTATCATTGTAGTTATTTTTACAATGCCAAGCAGTTCTGCCTTTAAAAATTCGACTCGACAAGAAATGCTGCAGTAGCTTTACGCGGTTGTCCATAATGTGACCTCGCGCATGCTCAGTGCATTTTGGTAATTTGTCAATTCAGAACTATGGTTCTTAAAATATCAAACGAGGAACAACATGTATATCCAAAACCATCATATTACTAACTAGTGGATACAATAGTTCTTAAATGTCTTGCGATTAACTGCCCACACCCTAAAGGTTAATAATGCATGCTTTGTTTAATGCGGTCCTCTACGCCTCTTGATCCATGCAATATATTTGAATAGCGGTCCAAATATTGCTTGAGTCATTTAAACCACCTTGATGTAAATTGTCATCCCCTTTTTTGTACAATTATCTTCTGAGGAAAGGGAGTGTTGTTTAGTTCAAACATCATAGGCTCGAAGTCAGGTTGGACATCTGGTGGAAAGCTTACGCTAAACCGACGAAAAAACAATGCCTGGAAAAGAAACTAATCACTATTCATACCTGCACATTTACATGTATATGTAAGTAGTGCACACACGATATTCCTAAATATGAATAACATGTAATATTCATTAAGGCTATCTGACACATTTGAAAGAACAAAAATCAAAACGAAAGAACACGTACCATGATCATCATGATTTCTGCCATGGCAAGTGCTTCTCCCACACATTTCCTCTTGCCACTGCTGAACGGCAGCCATGTCTTTTTATCCAATTTTTTCAAGCTGCCATCTTTGTCCAAAAACCTCTCTGGCATGAACGTCTCTGGCGATTCCCAGTTTTTCGGGTCATGGTGGATTGCCCATATGTTGGGATAGACAAGAGTGTCTTTTGGGATATCGTATCCACCTAAATGATGATGAATAAAAAGGTGTAGCGTCATACCATCAGTGCATTGCCAACAACCTCAAACTAGCTAAAGAGATAAGTATTTAATATGGACAGTATGATAAATTTTCAGATTGCCATTCAATAAAAAGAAATTGTTTCACGAGAAAAAGTAGGTACCATGTAAACAAAAGCTGAAGTTGCTGTGGAATTCAAATTCATGCCATCGATATAGTCCTTAAAATTCATGTTATCGCCTGTTTTAGTTGGATGGGGAAGATTAATTATATATTGATAATGACAGATAATTCAATAACCTAAGTTTTATATGCGAGCAAGACAAATTGATATCTCACCTAATTTGGTGTCACAAAGTGTTTTATGTTTGAAAGCCACTGGGGTTGCAGGGCGCATGCGCATTACTTCTCTTAGAACAGCTTCACAGTAAGTCATCTTACTTCTGCAGTGACGAAGATCGCCCGAATGGTTTTCTGTTTGTCATATGTCAAAAAAGGCTATTTTTAAAAATGCAACAATCGGATGAAGGACATAAACATAATGACTATATGCATTAATAGTGCAGGCCTCATACAGCCGCTCGTTTTCTAGAACTGTGAAACATATACATGTATTTGTGACCAATAAGATGCACATGTAACTGTAACTGAAATAAAGACAAGAAAGATGCTTTTACAATGTACCTAAGTCGTCTAACTCCTTGTGAATCTTTGTCTGGACTTTTCGATTGTCTGCTACATACATTACCATCCACTTCAATGTGTCGGATGCAGTCACGGTTCCAGCTACGGGAGATATATGTCTGCTTAATACTCATCGGATGCATTGTAGTAAAAAACAAGTTTCATATTGAGCATTGCACAACAACACTTAGTGTACTTTGTACAGAAAAATACAGACTTGACATTTATTATGGAAAATTTCAGTTTCGAAGGTAACCATAGGTAACAGTGCGTTAAAAAAAATCCGATTTCATATAAGATATATAAACGGAAAAGCGTGTTGTCAGGTGTATCGTTACCAATTTACTGACTACACTGTCTGTTGCGCTGCTGCATTATGTAATATGCAGTGATTTAATTTGGTGGTGCTCCTTTGAGCGGGTCAGAGCTAGGCTTTGGCAAAGCATGGTTCTGTCAAAAAAGTATACATTTGTCGGCAACTACTGAATAGAAGAATCTGAAATTTTGCATGCAAGCGGTCGGTTTTGCAGTTCGTAAAATGAGCCTAGTATTGCTTTACAATTATATCAATCTGTGGCAGAATGGCGCGAAAATGACAGACATTGCCAGACAGATCATAGCGCCAAATGGAACGGTCCGCACAGTTTTATAAAGCAATGCCCAGACTGATGTGCCTACACAGAGGTCACATACAATGTATAGAAATCTCACCACCAGGGTACAGGACCCATTGTCTTTCGGGATACGCAGCTGCAACTGAACAAAAACCAATCAGTCCATTTAGAATGAGGGACAAATTGCCACAAAACGCGCATTCCAAGGCCCTTAGCGAACACCAAAATGGTTTTAGCAGGTAAGAATACTAAACAACCTCCGAGGTACACACTGTAAACAGCAAAACATCGCCGTCTGTTTCTCTAATGAATTGGGGACCATGACCGTTTCTGGGTAGATCACTGAAACCGCGTGGCTTTCATTATTGAGGTCCGATTTCACCTGCACCACCCAACTAGTCAAAACAGAGTTTACAGACATTACAGGACAATGCGTGCGCCGCGTCTTAAGTGATTAGGGCATTGACAGCGTCAGTATTTGAAGTGTATACAACATTGGTGCCAAAACACCAATGGTAGTCATTGACGAAAACCTGCACCAGATCAAATAAAGGAATAATCTGGGAAACAATTGACTATCATTTGATAGGGGGAACCTTAGGAACAATTTTAAGGTTGCACGGTGAGATTGTCGGTCCACACAGAGAACTTTTAATTGCACATAACGTACAGAACCAAGGGAATGATCAGCTACCTTAGTCATCAAAATCGCGATATTTGAACCACATAGACAACGTTTGGGTAGGCCATTACTCGACGAATCATCGGCCTACATGTTCTACAACAAAACTGTTTTGACCGATGCCTGGAATGGTATTGAACTCTAAAAAACATTTCCGAAGTAATGCCTTGTCCCTTGAGAGTGCTGGTAGCAGCCAGAAGAGTTCAGGTGTAACAGCGACCGTTGCTATGACTAGACACTGACATGAGGGTCATTAGTGGAGCGTGTAACTCTTTTACAGACGATAATTAGGAAAATATGGAGATCCAAAATATCTTTTTTTATGGACGTTGTTTGCTTCACTGGCAAATTCAACCAATGAACTGATGTCACTATGAGATCAGAGAGAAAATAAAAAGTTATTAAAACACGATTTTAATCCTTATTTTCATTTATCAGTCAACAAAATAGGAAAAAAACTGATGAAAAATGTTTTGGAAAAAAATCCCATATTAAATGTCAAGTCTGTATATATCCTTCCCGTTAAAATCTACCACATGTTTGACATAGAAGTAATAAGAAGCGTCGAAGTAAAATTACCCGTGGTGTTCCTCATTCTTTCTCCCTGTAATGTTGTTTAAAAGTGGAGGATACAAAATAAAATACACTAATGCTATGGACAATATAAACGTTTTGAGGCTTTTTTTCCTGCAAGAAAAACAGATTATGACACTGCGCGGAGGTTTGGGACATACACTGTATAACCTTTACCTCTGAATATGTGAAACATACTTTATCGTACTCTTTCGAAAATATTGAATAGCTCAAATTTTGTTAACTATCTAGAGACCCGTGTGATATCAGGAGCTACAGTGATATTGCGATTCCTTTTTAATTATAGAATGAACATCAACTGTGTCGTCTGAAATACGTTCACATGTAAAAAGCAACTGCGTTATACTTGGGAGTATGGTTATGTGATACCTTATCTATTCGACAAAGTACCAAATATCATCAGAAATACTGTATTAAGAGTGCACGTGTGCTATCTCAGAAATCAACCCTACCAATATTTATGTCCAATAAGGTGAGCATGATTCTAGTGTCAGAAAGCGCCTCCTTGGCGTTGTCATCGCTTTCAGGTGTCAGCTCCTCCTTCAGTAGCAAAAATTGGTCCATTATGTCTCTTGCGTCACCTTTGAAATAAATGATCGTAATTTAGTGACTACTTATTTTCAGTAGAACTATTTATCACAAATTATATAGTACATAACCTAGTTCATGAACAGATTCTGACACTGCGTATATAAAATTTCGTATATAACATATATATATATATATATATATATATATATATAATTAATGACTTAAAATACTTTTATTTTCCCAGCTGCTTCCTGTTCATTTCAGTAATATTAAATTCAACGGATTACAGACATTTTGTAAATATATTTTTTAAACATGTCACGAACCTGTGTTTAAAGTTGCCTTGTGTTCTTCGAGGTTAACTTTGAGGAAGGCACCCACTTCCTTCGTAATTTGTTTTGCCATGACAGATGATGGGATAGGAAAATGTTTCAAGGCAGGGATGACGTCAGAGGGAATGGGTCCTGCCAATAGCTTTCCATTAATTTCGTCAATTTTGTCCTTTAACCAGATAAATTCCTTATCGTCAATTGTGTAGCTGAAAAGGATAACAATTCATTTCTGAGTTTCGAACAACATCTAAACGTAGCAGATTTTTAATTATCAATTCTATGCAAATATTTTAAATCAATGAGATATCATGGTTGGATAAATCTACAACACATTGATAATTTAGCAAATAAATGCATTCCTGTATATATCAAATCTTATATAATTTCAGATTTCACCTCATCTTAACCACACGCCCTGTCTATTGTCACATTGGCGACTCTACCGAGACTCTAGTTTAAGTACCCATTTGGCACTTAATAATAATATTTATTTGACCATTAAGTAACAGCTTTCTAAATAAATGTTGAAAACGATACATATATGAGTGAATCCGTTAGATTTCGTTTTTTTTTCCATTACATATTATGGATAAGTTGTCAAAATAATGCAGGTTTTGTCGAGATAACGTACGCCATCTTTTCATAAGCCTCATTCCCAATGGAACTTTTGGTTCTACGTAATTCGATCCCTGAATGCTATCGGATAATCAGATTGGCACGCCCTTTATAAGTGTAATAACCAGTTTTTTTTTGTATTCTGCTCATCGCGAGGAGGCGTACTAACATGTGAATCTGCATGCCTTCAGTTAAAAACCTCTCAGAGGTAGATCGATCTAAGAAGAATGATAGATTCATTGGGAATGAACTCATAGAAAGCAAATTAATTGGTTTTCCACAATCCAATAAAACACGTTACAAGAAGACCGAGTGCGTATCAAACATATAATTTTAACAGTAAGACACCTTTTCCCAAACGCCATCCTGCAGACGATGTTGAAGACAAGTAACCGGATGTAAACGTCTAATTCAAACGGATCGGCCTCCTTTTCAATCAGGTTTGCGACTTCCTCAAAAGCAGACCTCGTGTATGTTTCCAATTTATCACCCGCCAAGTAGGTCCTAAATGACGAAAACAGTGATAATCCTCTGTGACTATATCTAATGTTTTCATGTGTAATTTACCCTGAGATTTAAAAAAACTGGGTCTTCTTGACCCCAAAACAACTTTGTGACTCTACTGGCAACATATTTAACCGCTCCATATGAAAGCTCCCTTGTATTCCTCATACTTGGTATATAACGGATATTTTAAAACATACACGGCACACGGCACAGCAGAATGGAATTCTACGGGGCTTTTTTTAGCTTTTTCAATTAAGCAATCTATGTAACGCACCAATAAGGTCAACGTACCTGAGAGCCTTCAAAGTCATCTGTCTCTGCAGTCTCCAAACTGGACCATAGTTGGCGAAAGATAAACTTCTGAACCCGCCAGTCATAAGCTTAACTTGGTCAACAGATGAGTGCAGGGGTTAATGAGACGAAACAAAGTATTTCGTCATCTAAATCTCATTTAAAATACATTTTAAATGTATTTTAAATGTATTTTAAATGAGATTTAAAATACATTTTCCAACTTTACATCATCATCACGTTCTCATTATTATATACATAAGATTAGCAGTGAGACATGAGGAACGTACACTATCCTATTATATTTTATTATAATAAATAAAGATGCTACTCACACTTCCAGCTCTCGTCATCTCTTCCCGCAAATATCTCTTTCTTTTCAATAAATGCCTCATGAACAATCTCCGCAGATTTTAGAACCACGACCGAGCGTCCAAATCCTGCGAAGTCAAATCATGTAAAATTGTTAGATTTTCTAGTCTTCCAAAATAGATTACAAATCGAACAAAGTTATATATTTTAAAACATTCTAACTGAATTAACATATTTTAACACTGACAACTAATTAAAATGTTGAAATGCTAAAAATAAGCATTCTACTTAAACTATAAAACATTCTTAGATATGATAAGCTAATTGACGAAATAAATGTACCTAATACCTAAATTCACCGAAAAAATGTCATCAAAGGACTTCCCGAGCTCATTGAAGGCGGCGTAAAGTCGAACTTCATTTCTGAAAGCTGAAATGGTACCCGCATGTACGAATACAAGACTATTTATTCAAATTTGAGCCGTGACTAGGGCAGCCATTTCTTCAAAGTTTTCAGACCTATCAAGAAAAATACCTATATCCTAGAAAGCCATATGTTGTTGGAAGAAAAACGTTGGTACATATAAAACAGTCTCGGCAGTTTCAAAGTCTTTAAAATAATGCTCACAACCACAGGGTAGTATTTTTTATGAAAACTTCAGGACATTACCCTTAGCCAAAACAGTCACACAAATGATGCTGCATGGTGTCTTGGTAGGTACTTCAGCGGGTGTTGGAGAACTTCCCTCGAAAAGAAGGGCTTGCACAATACTGAGTCATGAGCAAATTTTTTTACATAAAAAAACAATAAATAAATAAAAAAGCCAACAATGTGACAGTTAAGCTTTTTATGAACAATCTTCCTAATAATTTACGTGTATGATATAAGCTTAAGCGCTTCTTTTTATAGGGACAGATCATGCACCTCGGTTTACTGACGATAGCGGTATCTGTGTCGGATGTTTTATATAGGACAGTGGCGATAAAGATTTTGCTTACGAGGGGGGAGGTTGAGAATAAAAAAGTGCTTAGCTTTGGCTGAAGAAGAAAAAAAGAAAAAAAAAACAGGAGACGAAGGAAAATTTCTTAAATTGTGTACAGTATAGATGTGTGAAATACATGTTGCCTGATCTAGTCCCGGTTTGTTCAGTACACATTTTTATAACATTTAATTCTATTAAATATTAAATAAGAAGGTAAGTGGGCGTGGGTTTAATACAATGTATGTCTTCCCTAGATCTGTCACTTCTAAAAGTCTCTCTCTCATCTCTCTCTCTCTCTCTCTCTCTCTCTCTCTCTCTGTACTTTGTCCGCAACTCCTTTAAGTGGTATTATCGGACCATCTACGATCTGTTGTGTTCTTTACTTTCAACCATTTACTTGTGCATTTGCCTGATTTTCAAAGATATCTCACCAAAGTAATGTCCCAGTATCGGCAGATGAGGAGGTCCTGGTGGCAGTTTGTACTTCTTCCTCTGTAGATATGACATCACCAACAGAAATACCACGATTCCAACCAAGACAGTTTTCACAGGAAGCCAACTAATTATAGCTGTATCCATCATCCTAAAAGCGTATATGTTAACTGTAAAGTTATCATCTGAATTACGTTGGTAAAAGTATGTTCCTTAAAACTGCACTTAAACCTTCTCTGGATACAAAGACATATCTAATTATTTCATAAAATAACTTTAAGAATAACATTTTACCCTACTTTTAACCAAATTAAATCAAGGGTAGTCCAAATACACAAAACAAATTAATTTACAAAACAATACTTCTTTAAGTAAATATCTAAGGATTTTTCTCGCACATGAACAGATGTAGAATACATCTTTCATCTTTTAAAGTCTGTTACGGTCTACCCTGTACAAGCACCAATGCTTAGGTAGTGAAGCCCCCTCACACTTATATGGAATCAGCACGAAACAAACAGAACAAGCCGGAATGGCTAAATTAAAAAATTCGTACTACATATGGGAAGATATTTCAAATGGACCTAAATTCTTGTAAGAATACCGTCGGAATACAAAGAATGCGCTTGAATCCAGTCCGCCTCTAGTGTGACGGGGGTATCATTAAAGGAGTCGTGTCGCGATATCTCTCTCTTTCCTTCGAACAAGCAAAGGGCTGACCAAAGTAAGCTTTCTTAACTAATTTCCTTTTGATTGTATATTGTAATTACTCTAACTGCTCGCATCCATTAATTGTCTTGTAAAAGTGACAAAGAATGTGTTGCTTTCACACACAAGTTGAAAGAACTTTGCATAACTACTTTGCCTTGTTGCATGCCTTTATCAAGGTTATAATCAGTGTAAAGAGGCTGTCTTGCCTCACTTAAAAATGGAGTTGTTCTTCATACTGGTTGTTGCTTAACTTATGCTTACCTACTTTGTACAAATATGGTTTCACCAAATCGCCAAATGTATGACATCAATGAACATTGTGTATCAAACGTTTTAATACGGTTTAAATAAATGGACAAGAAGGATTACGGAATGAGTTACTATCTACCTCTGGTGTTAACTTCGTCCTGCTGATAACTTTAACAAATGTTGCAGATCGTTAAAAAAGAAAAAAAAATTCTTATGCTGATTATTTATGACATACAATTTATATAGTTCGGTTGTTTCACAATCAGGGGTACAAAATAGGGGTCACATTGAGAGAAAAATGAACTCTGAAGAATTTGTTCAATTTTTTAACATATAAAAAGAATAACATCTTAACTATGACATCCAGAACACAATATTAATTACTTTTTGTGCTACGCTCAAATTAACAGAACGCCCCTTAGGCTATGATCTGGGGGTACGGACACTACACATTCAAGTAATAGGTGAGCGGCAAAACCCCAAAACGTGCTTTATTTAAGGACTTTATAGTGTCCCCTTTATACACAGACCTGAATTATATATCATTTGAAAGATCAGAGCCTGCTGGTCAAAGTTAGTCATGATGTGGAAATGGTAATTGCCTACGTAACCATGGAAACGGACAAAATCCAAGAAGGCCGCCTGTTTTTTTGCATTTTTTCCAAAAATACAAATCATTGATAAACATACCTAAAACATTGTGTATCATATGACCTTTTCACATCTCCTGGTGAGGGAGGTTGTGGGCT